AGGGAGGAAGGAAGGAAGGAAGGAAGGAAGGAAGGAAGGAAGGAAGGAAGGAAGGAAGGAAGGAAGGAAGGACAATACCATGGAGGGCCAAGGCTCCTGATCTGGAGCTCACACTTTCGCCTGTGATGATACACAGGAAGTTTAATGCTTTTAGAGTCTGAAAGTCAGATTTTTTCCACTTGAAAAGAAAGCATCCTAGGAGTAAGTAAAAGGGGGACGATGGGACTATGGGCGCTCACAAAGTATCCGCTTGGAAGGTAAAGCAGTGTCTTACTTAACAGAGAGGGAGGGCTCCAGGCACAGGGCAGTCAGCACTCCTGTGAAGAAAGCCGAGACTTACCAATCAATGGAAGATGGAGCTTCCAGCAGAGATCACAGGATGCGGGGCTCACTGCAGAGACCCATGAGGAAAGGCAGGCAAGAAAGAAAAGCCAGAGTAAGAGGATTCACTCCAGACAAGCTGCCCCTGACATCCACGCCACACTCTGAAATCAGGAATTGAGAGATAAGAAAGAGAAGCAAGTTTTGCTGTGTGTCACAGCCACAGAAATGGGGGAGAGAGACAGAGAGACAGAGAGAGGAAAAAATCCACACAACACACATATTCACCCAGGATGAGCTGGGCCTCCTGTATTTCACCCAGGAAGTGAGACAAGACAGGAAGCAGTCCCTTCTCCCTTCTAGGCTAAGTGGTTGAGCCACCTTGTCCCAGGCCTTCAGATCCCACCAAAGAGTCACTTTGGCCAGGAACCATCAGGTGTCCCTGAGTTCCAGAGCAGAGAGACAGTCCCAGAAGAATCCATGTCTTCGCTCCAAGGGCGGCGATGGAGCCCAGACACCTTCAGGTTCCATTGGGGAGCAGCCTTGGCTAGAGACATCACTTGTTTGTGACCACACATGCCACTCACCAAGGGCTGCGAGGGAAGGGAGACAGAGGAGCGGTGGGGAGGCCTTGTAGGGGTGGTGGTGGCAGGTTGCTGATGCAGATGTTGGAAGTAGAGGAGGGTCGGCCATCAGATCATCGGGTAGGGCAGCAGGAAGTGTGCTGATGTGCCCTGTGGGGCTGCTTCTACGTCAATCAGACAGTGATGTCATGTAGTGACGTCAGTTCAAGTTTGGACTTATGGCCAGTAAGAGCCAGGCCTTGAATCAAAAAAAAATGTCTCGAGTCAGGCAGTGGTGGCGCACGCCTTTAATCCCAGCCCTCAGGAGGCAGAGGCAGGAGGATCTCTGTGAGTTTGAGGCCAGCCTGGTCTCTAGAGAAAGTTCCAGAATAGCCAAGGCTACCCAGAGAAACCCTGTCTCAAAAAAACAAAAACAAACAAACTTGTCTCGTGCTGGCAAGATGTCTGAGTAGGCAAACGTGCTGCCTGCCTGATGAGCCACACAGCGGAAGGAAGGGTCCAGCTCCTGCAGGCTGACCTCTGACTGCCCCACGGGCTATGGCATTTAGTCGTGCATAATTGCACAAACTCGGAATTAATAAGTAAATAAATGTGAAGCATTTTCTGAAATGGTTCAGCATGCCCGTCACTCCTAAACGGCATCCACAGGGAGTGTGGCCCCGGCGCACAGGGTGGGAGGGAGGCCGTGCCCTGAGGCACCTGCACCTTCCCCTCCTCGGCCCAGAGGTCCCATATTCACGCCTCCCTTTGTTGGTTTCTTGTACAGAAACCCCGTGAATCTGCTGAGAGAAGACATATTCAACTTGCAGTTTAACAACGGGGCCCGGGTTGAGCCAGTCCAGCATCGCTTCTACAAAAGGACGACCTATCTGTGCTACCAGCTGGAGCAGAACGATGACCAAGAGCCTCTCAAAGGCTGCCTGCAGAACAAGGTGCCAGATGGGGTCTCCAAGCCAGAGGGAGAGGCGGCCAGGGACCCCCCCCTCTCCAGTACACCATGCACAGTGTGAGGGTCCCCATGATCATTTCCATTCCCCCCCCCCCACACACACACACTGGGGCTTAGTCCTTCTTGCTGGCCCTGGATCTTTCCAGGTTGTTCCCTTTCATAGCAAAGTCTTCCCGCCACTCAAGGTTAGATAAGCCTCCGAGCTCAGCTTTTTTCCTGCCTTGGAGAAACAGTGGACTGCACACAGTGGCCTCTTTACTGCTGTCTCCCAGGCTGCATCCTGATTAAAACCTCTTTGAAAAGCGCTTGCTGGGCGTCGTGGCGTACGCCTTTAATTCCAGCGCTGGGGAGGCAGAGGCAAGCGGATCTCTGTGAGTTCAAGGCCAGCCTGATCTACATAGTGTGAGTTTCAGGACAGCCAGGACTACACTGAGAGACCCTGTCTTGGGGGAAAAAGAAGAAGAAGAAAAGAAAAACTCATGGGTCAGCATCCTAAAGTGAGGCCACAGCACTGGGGACCATCTCGAAAGCACCATCTGTTTGCTGACCCCTTTTCTCTGGGCACCTCTGGGATCCTCGTCCAATTTAGAAAAGGCTGTGGTGCTTTGGGGATGTGGAGTTAGGGAGTGAGTGCAGAAAGGAGAGTCTCTCCTCTGCTAGGCAAGACATTAGGAAGTTCACAAGCTAGAGCCGCTGGTCTCCAAGCTCACCCCCAATCACATGATGTCTGGCTCCCACCTTCCAACTCTTTCTTCTCTCTGCCTGGACTCCCCTCAGAAAGGTAAACACGCAGAAATCCTCTTCATTGATGAGATGCGTTCCTTGGAGCTGGGCCAAGCGCGAATCACCTGCTACCTCACATGGAGCCCCTGCCCGAACTGTGCCCAGAAACTGGCTGCATTCAAAAAGGATCACCCAGACCTGGTTCTGCGCGTCTACACCTCCCGCCTGTACTTCCACTGGAGGAGGAAGTACCAAGAGGGGCTGTGTGCTATGTGGCAATCAGGGATCCAGGTGGACGTCATGGACCTCCCGCGTAAGAAGGGACCACAGCCACCGGTGGGCAAAGGTTTCTCAGTTCCAAGAGGACTAGCGATGGCCAGGAGGCCGGGGCGGGGGGGGGGGGGGGGGGGGGGGGGGGGGGGGGGGGGGGGGGGGAGAAGCTGGGCAGGAAGGAAGGGTGTGACCCTGCTGAGGGCAAAGATGTGCCTCCACCCAAAGGGCAGATTCGATGCGGAGAGTGATATCCTGGGAGGAGAAGGCGGGAGAAGGAAGGAGGAAGGTCTCTGCACGGCCTGGGACCTCACTGGCTACCCGTTTTTCCATCTCAGAATTTACTGACTGCTGGACAGACTTTGTGAACCCCCAAAGGCCGTTCCAGCCATGGAATCAACTGGAGAAAAACAGCAGGTGCATACAAAGACGGCTCCGGAGGATCAAGGAGGTGAGATCCGCCCTGCTGCAGGCCCCGCCTCCTAGTGTAGACCCCGCCCTCCTGCTTCAGGCCCCTCCTGCAGGCACCGCCTCCCGTTTCAGGCTCCACCCCCTCCTGCTGCCGGGCTTCCTGCAGGCCCCGCCCCCTCTTCCCCTGGGCTGGGCTTTGGAGCCCCCCTACTGTCCACCCTCCCCACTGCCCTCTCCCTCCTAGACTTATTTTGTTCTCTCCCACCAGAGCCTCCTGGTCCTGCCTTCTCTCCCTCAGGCACTCTCCTCACCTCTCTGCCCCTGTTCTTTCCTTGAACATCCCTATTTCCAATTTCCTCCCTTCCTCGGGCGCATTGGCACACCCTAATTTCTCTCTCCACAGTCCTGGGGCCTGCAAGGTTTGTTGAATGACTTTGGAAATCTACAACTTGGACCCCCATTGCCCTGAATGGCAAGAAGAGATTCAAGACAGTCTCAAGCATGTCTTTTGGCGTCCGCCCCAAAGCCAGGTCAAGAAGACCTTGTTCTCCTATTTCTTTTCTTTTTTCTTTTGTTTTGTTGTTGTTGTTTTGTTTCTGTTTTGTTATTTGATGCAGAGTCTCACTGTGTAGCTTGCTACTCTGGAACTCGCTACTAGACCAGGCTGGCCTGAAAGTCATAGACATCCACCTGCCTCTGTCTTCTGAGTGCTGGGATTAAGGAATGTGCCACCATTCCAGGCTTCGCGGCGTCACCATTCCGGACCTTTCCTTCCTTTCTTTTTTTTTATTCTCATTTTATCTTTTTTCATTAATAGGTGCTTAATTTTGTAATTGAAAAATTTAAGTTGGGCTGGGCATGGTGGCTCATGCCTTTAACCCAGTACTTGGGAGGCAGGGGCAGGAGGATCTCTGTGAGTTCGAGGCCAGCCTGGTCTACAGAGAGACTTTCAGGATAGCCAGGGCTACACAGAGAAATAAATAAATAAATAAATAAATAAATAAATAAATAAATAAGGGAAAAAGTTGGGCATGATGGGTCATGTCTGTCATCCAGCACTTGAGAGGCTGAGGCAGGAGGATTGCCACAAGTTTGAGGTCAGCCTGGGCTACACAGTGTGAGATTCTGTCTCAAAAAAATTTTAAAAAATCAAGAGAACAGACAGTTGGGGTTTATTTGTTTGTTTGTTTGTCTATTTTGAGACATGCTTTAAGCCTCCTGAGTGCTGGGATTAAAGGTGCGCGCCAGTACTGCCAGGCTATAACAAACAGTTTAAAATCCAAAAACCCGAGTTCCTCTCTAAGAAGGTGGGCAACAGGCCCCTCACCAATCATGGTGGGAATGACAAGAAAGGGGAGCCAGGGGGATGGCTACTCTTGCTGCTCTTGAAGATTGGAGTTCAGATCCCAGCAGCTAACCCAGCTATGATTCCAGCTCCAGGGTATCTGATGCCTTTTCCTGGACAGCTCCCCCACCCCACCCCACCCCGCACCTGTGGGCACCGCCCCCATATATATATCCTGTATATATACATAGATTAAAGAGGAAAAGAAAGAAACGTTTGTGGGCAAATGCCCTGTCCAGTGTGGAGGAGTTGGATTAGATTGTTTTCACTGTGCTCTGTCCCTTCCAAATCTCTATTACGTGCCTAAATTATCAGGACTAAGGCAGGCTTGGTGCTATGTCCCGGCAGTCCTATGTACTGCAGAGGTTGAGGCGGAAGGAGTTCAATCCAGTTCAAGGCCAGCCTGGAAACCTTAGGAAGACGTGTCTACAGCCAGGAAATGAAGGGAAGCTGGCGCTTCCCAGCTTCCTGTTTCCCTCTTCCTCCGTCCAGGACCCCACCCCTGGGAAGCGGTCTCCCCCATCAGGGTGAGTCCTCTCTCTTCAAACCTTTCTGGGGGTCTGGGAGGCATCCAGAGGGTAAGGTGCTTGCTGCACACCAAGGGGACCTGAGTTTGGTCCTCTGCACCCATGTAAAAGGCTAGGTGTGATGTGACTGACCTGCTTAGAGCCCAGTGCTGGTGGGGTGGGGTGGGAGGCTCAGGGATAGGATGATCCCCAGAGCTCGCTCCCTGGCCAGTCACTTTAGCTACAATGGTGAGCCCTGGGTTCGGTGAAAGGTTCTTTCTCATTAATTAGTTGCCAGGCATAATGGTCCATGTCTTCAACCCCAGCTTCCTACCCACAGAGGTAGGGGATCTCTGGAGTTCCAGGCCAGCCTTGTCTGTGCAGGGAGTCCAGGCCAGCCTGTCTCAAAAACAAACAAACTAAATGAATGGTGGAATACAATAGAGGAAGACAGCTGATGTTGACTTCATGTGCACCCCCTACACACACACACACACACACACACACACACACACACACACACACACACATCACACAAGGAAATGACATAGACCTCTCTGGAAACACTGTTAAAGACATCCAAATCCAGTCAGGCTGACAGGGTTAACCATCTTTTAAAAGTCTTCTTGTGAATTTAACAGCTAAACATGTTACTAGAACATTCCATCATGATCCTCAAAGGCTTATGGCCATTTCATTACACAAAACGCATTTAGTTCATTTGTAAGGTACCCCGAATCTTTTTTTTTTTTTTATTGTATTTCATGTGTCTGGATGTGTGCCTGTGCACCATGTGCCCCTGATGCACACAGAGGCTAGAAGAAGGATTTGGAGCCCCTGGGGTTGGATTTACAGATGGGTGAGAGCCACTCTGTGGGTGCTGGGAATGAAACCTGGGTCCTCTGGAGGAGTAGTCAGTGGTCCTAACCACTGAGCAACCTTCCCAGTCCTGGTGCCTAAAATCTTAACAGTTCCTACATAATTAAAAAAAATCCCAAAGTCTCTTCTGAGACTCAAGGCAATTGCTTAACAGTCAGCTTCTGTAAAGGAAACACATACAAAGTCACACGCTTCTAGTAAACCACAGAATGGAATAAACACCCTCATTCCAAAAGAGCTGAATGGGCATGGCCAGGAAAGTTTTACCAAAGCAAGACCAAAAAAAAAAAAAAAAAACCCACCAAGGCAAACACCAAAGCCTACAGCTCTGCCTGCCACCTGGGGCGGGTTGGTTCACCTCTCCAGCTCTGTCATCTGCAGTACACATCTTTTGACAGCTCCACCCCAGGCCTGTCTCCTTTTGTGGACAGCCCATCTACAAAACAGTGGGCTCTCCATTGCGACTCAGCCTTCTCCACAGCTTCACAAAATGACTCAGCACAGCTTCCTCACGGATAATCCAATCTGACACTGCCAGACCTAGAGCTTTCTGGAATCTTGGTGTAAGCCTCAGTGGCCCCATAATAAGTGACGTTTTGCAAAACCCGTACCATGTGGGTAACAGTTCTAAGTCTCTGCTCCTCAGTTCAACCTCTTTGGAAAGCCCTTCCATTCACACTGCCCAGCAGGGTTGTCTCCTAGGTGACTCCAAATCCAGTCCCGTTGGCCATGAAGATTAGCAGCACAGGTCCCATAGTAGTGGTTGGAAACAAAAATCTTGGCAAGGCATTGTTCAGGGTTCTAGGCTGGAGCCACAAGCAGGAATTCCATCTAGTTAAACACCAAGAGAACCAAAAGATGTTGAGGGTCAGTTCGATTAAGCACTTGAAGATGCTGGGTGGCCCACTGAGTCCCTAAGAAAGATGTGAGAACTGGACTGAGGGGCTTCAGGAGGGACCCCAAGACTAGTGTTCAGTCGGGGATGACAGCGAGCGTGGCTATTGTGCAGAATGTTCTGCCCATACCAGCCATCTGGACACTGGATGCTGACACAGAACCTCTGCCTCAGGTCACCTCCGCTAGGAACACTCGTCAGAATGAAGGAAGAAAAAGTGAGGGGAAGGAGGTTACAATAAGGAGCATAGCACAAGAAGGAAGGGAAACCAGGCATACCACACTAAATGTAAAGAGCATAAATCATTTCATACTGTTCACAAGAAACTCCTTAACAGACAGATAATCTGGTCACTGTGACAAAACACGGCGACCAGACGTAACTATGAAAGAAATCATTTGTTATGGCCGATGGTTCTAGAGGGGAATTCATAATGACGGGAAGGTTCAGCAGCCAACAGCTGAAGCAGGAAGCTGAGAGATCACGGCTCCATCCGCACCCGGGAAGTCTAGTGAACCAGCTGGACGTGGGAGGAGGCCGTAAACTCTTATATTTTTGGTTGTGAGCCTAGCCTTTAACGGCTGAGCCATCTCTCCAGCCCAAGGCTGTAACCTCTCAAACCTGACCCCCAGTGACAAATTTCCCTCATCAAGACTCCACCTCCTAGCCTGGCAGTGATCCCAGCACTCGGGAGGGGGAGGCAGGCCGAACTCTGAGTTTGAGGCCAGCCTAGTCTACAGAGCAAGTTCCAGGACAGGCAGGGCTACATAGACCCTGTCTCAAAAAATAAAAACAACAAAAAAATTCCATCTCGTAAAGGTTCTAGAACTTCCCCAACTGGACACCAAGTGTTCAAATAGAAGCCCATGGGAGGCATTTCTCATTCAAACTACCACAACAGGCAAATAAAAAGATGGAAGCAAGTCTGTAGGGCAGGAGTGGCTGGTGGCACACACCTTTAGTCTTAGCACGTGGGAGGCAGGTGGATCTCTGTGAGTTCAAGCCCAGTCTGGTCTACATAATGAGTTCCAGGCCAGCTGAGGCTATCTAGTGAGACCACCCTGCCTAAAACAAACAACGAACACCCAACCTCTCCTGGAGCTTGAGTTAGAGGCAGTTGTGAGCTGCCTAAAGTGCGTGCTGGAAACAAACCCCAAACCCTCTGCAAGCACAGCAAATGCTCCTGACCGCTGACTCATCTCTGCAGTCCTCAGAGACAACTTTTGTGGGGTTGGGTTTCCCCTTCTGCTCTCGTGTGGGCCCCAGGAATTGAACTCAGGTTGTCAGGCTGTCAGTGTGCAAGTGTTTCTGCCTGCTGACTTCTCACCAAGTCCAGGGTAGCCATAGGAACAAGGTGGGGTTCGAGGAAGTGACAGGTTAAAAGGGGACTTAACATCATGACATAAAGGAACAATTGAAGAATGTGACATACTATATTTAGACTTTTCCTTGCACCGGAAGAAGGCAGGGGCTTCCGAGATGGCTTGGTGGTTAAGAGTGTTTGCTGCCCTTCCAGAGGACCTGAGTTCGGTTCCTGGTGCCCACATTGGTGCTGCTCACAGCTGCCTGTGGCTCCAGGCCCACAAAGGGATCTAGTGTCCTCCACAGGCATCCGTACACACGTGGCACGCATTGACATTGACACATACATACACATGAAGAAAAATAAATCTTTAAAAACTAGCCGTCAAGAGAGGGAGAGAGATGGTTCAGACACAAGTCTGCTGCTTTTGTAGAGGATGCAAATCCAATTCCTAGCATCTACATCTGGTCGCTCACAACCATCTCTAACTCCTGCTCCAGGGGCTCTGACGCCTCTGGCCTCCATGGGAACTTATAGTCATGTGCGCGCGCGCACACACACACACACACACACACACACACACACACACACACACATTTTTTGAAAAAACAAACAACTTTTTTTTTTTTAAATAGCAGCCATATACATGAAGGAAAAAACTACTTGAAGTCCCAGATTTGGCTGGAGCGGTAATGTTGGCAGGTCAAGGTGGACCGTGCTTGGTCTAATCATGTAGCCCTCCCCCTTTGTCGATACCTTTGTTTCTCCCAAAGCTAAGGGTGTCCATGCAACTCAACTATAATCTGTCAGTGTAAGAAAATATCTCCTGGGAGAGCATTTAGATTTGACAGACAGACAGACAGACTTTGAGCCTATTTGGTTAGATGAGCTCTAAACCATTTGTGTGGGTGTACTGGTAAATTGTTGCATGCTGTTTGAATTCATTCAGAGTCTGGCTCTGAAGGTGGGGTTGCTTCAGATGCAAGCATGTTTATACCAAGTGTCCCCCAAGACCCCTTGTCTAGGGAATGGGCTGGCCCCATAACCATGAGAGGGAGGAGAGGGAAGAGAGAACCGTAAAACAGCCCGAGTTAAAACAGCGTCCTAAGGAACAGCTAGAAGAGCCAGAAGGTGCAGGCACTTGACTTTAATCCCAGCACTCGGATCTCTGAGTTCGAGGCCAGCCTGGTCTACAGATCGAGTTCCAGGACAGCCAGGACTACACAGAGAAGCCCGGGCTCAAAAAACAAAAACAAACAACATCAACAACAACAGCTAGCAGGTCAGCTGTCTCCCACGATAGAAAAGTGCTCTGGGTGAGAAGAGGCTGGAGGTTCAGCCCTGGAGGCAGCGGGACCCCCAGCTGACTGCCTCTGCCTCTCCAGTTGGTTTCTGCTGGGTGATGCGAGCACCTCACTGAATGAACTCTATTTGTTGCTATTTGTTCCTTTATTTGAAAGCCTTACCCGAGGGGACACTCGGCTCTGCCCAGGACTCCTTGGGGGAAACAGCTGGCTGCTTTAATAGGGTTTCCCCAGCTGACTTTTGCTGGACGTTTATAAGCCCCATTTGAGGATGTTTTGTTATGGCTGTTTCTTCTTTTACTTTGCCTTGTGGCTTACCAAATAAACTTACTCATTAAACCACAACTGTGGCTATTGGAGATCATTCTCAGGACCACACAGAACCATGGGGAAACATACACATAAAGCAGAGAGGCAATAAGCCTGGAAAAAGAGACTTGACATGCACACATAATGCAAGGAGGCAGTTTCCCACAATATACAAAGAGTACCTAAAAATCAAACAACACATGGCGGCGGGGGGGGGGGGTGTTGTCACCTGAGATACCATCCCTCCCCAGGATCGATTAGCAAAAAGGTGACCATGTACAAATCCATAAGCAGCCCTCACCATACCCAAGCAGACCATCATGTTGGACTTGACCTTTTCTATCTCTGAAATTGTGGGAGGTAGATGTGCTTAAACCATCAGTGTGTGGCGAGCAGGCTGTACCAGGACGCCCACAGTCACCTTCAACTCAGAATGAAACTTGCACCTGCAAAATGTTTCAGTTGCTGACTCTGACACTGATGTGTCTCTCTCACTTCCTACCAAGCCCAGGGGCTCCTCAGATGCCAAGTGGGGCTATTTGGCCTCTGAAAAGACCCAGAAGGGCTGGGAGTCCTCCTTCTGGGTACCCCAGCTAATGAAGAAGAACTGGAGTGATAGAATATGGGCAACCAGCTCCTGAATGCTGGACTTCAGACGGACACCTTTTGTTTTGGTTTTTGAGACAGGGTTTCTCTGTGTAGCCCTGATTGTCCTGGAACTCTCTGCAGACCAGTGTGGGATCCCACAGAGGCTTCCTAGTGAGAACTTACTCAGGGTCAGAGAATCTGAGCTTGCTTTACCCAGCAGGGCTGCATAATGGGATGATTTGATCACAGGCGTGGTTACCAGGTGTTTGGAAGGGTCTACACTTGGCTGCACAGTGTGCTTTGATCTTCCAAGGGGGAGGTCTTTTGCCTCTCCTCTTGGCATATTATAAAAATCCCTTTTCAATAAAGCATGAGGCTGTTGGATATTGACCCAGGTCCTCCCAAAGCTATCCTGTGTTTCTGTCTTTCTTATCATCTAAGTCTCTCTATCTATCATTTCTTAATTCCTCTCCTCCACCTAAGAACCCTTCAAAAGGTGGGAGCTGGACTCCCACAGACCAGGCTGGCCTTGAACTCAGAGATCCACTTGCCTCTGCCTCCTGAGTACTGGGATTAAAGGCATGTTTGCCACTACCACCTGATCTAATGTTTTGGGGACACAGAGATCTTTTTACTCACAAAGAAGCATTAAGGAAAACCAAGAATGTTAAATGCACAGGCACCTTTTCTCATTGGAGGAGATAAAATACCTGTTTTCCCACTCAGAAAGGTAGGAGTGTGCTGAGGATATCTTTCTGTACGCTGTGAATATATGTTGTTCCCACTGGTTAATAAATAAGCTGTCTTGACCTATGGCAAGGCAGCTTAGAAGCAGGCGGGAAATCCAAGGAGAGAGACAGGAAAGAAAAAGGCAGAGTCTGGAGAGAGACCCAGCCTGCCACCCAAGGAAGAACATGCCAGCAGACTGGTAAGCCATGGAACACGTGGCAAAGCATAGATGAATAGAAATGGGCTAATTGAAGATATAAGAGCTAGCTAGCAAGAGGCCTTCCATGGATCATACAGTTTGTAAATAATATTGAGCCTGTGAGTGATTATTTTATAAGCGGCTGTGGGACCTCAGGGCTGGGTGGGACTGGAGAAACCTTCAGACTACAGGAGTGAGTTTGAGGCCAGCCTGGGCTACAGAGTGAGTTCCAGGAAAGGTGCAAAGCTACACAGAGAAACCCTGCCTTAGGGGGTGGGGGTGGGGGTGGGGACAGTCTGCAGGAGTAGATTTTGTTAATGGCCTGATGACTTTTTTTGCTGTCTGTGGAGGCAGACATCACCCACCTTTGCTGTAGAAGAAAACTTCACCTAAATTCCCCACAATGATTATTCCAGACTCTTCCCTCCATAGACCGTTACCCATCCTTAAGGGATATGTCACATGTACTTTATGGCCTGCTGACATCTATGCTATTGGTCAGAGACCACACTAGATTCTAGGCCTTTTAGCTACAGAACCCACCCTCATGGCCACACGCACTCTGTAAAAGAGTCTCTACTTAGTCACACCTAAAGCTTTATTGTGCACCGGAAATTGGACTAATTGGATTGATTGTTGCCTGGAAACCTTTGACCAAATTGTACTGTGTTTTCAATATGCTCACAATGACCCGTGTGATGGTGGTGCACACCTTTAATCCCAGCCCTCGGGTGCCAGAGGCAGGCAGATCTCTGTGAGTTTAGGACAGCCTAGTCTACAGAGCGAGATCCAGGACAGCCACAGCAGTTACACAGAGAGAACCCCTTGTGGCTACATTCCCATTGGGCTGCACCTGGCCTGGGCTCCAGAGAGTAGCACCTGACCCTAATCTATCCTTTGTTTAGCAGACACCCTTTGTTTCTCTTGTTGCCCTATGTGAATCTTGTCTCAGAGTCTCCCAAGGATACAAAGGCCTATGCAAAACTTGGTTCAGGAAACCTGGAAAATTGTGGTACCTGATGAATCGAGGGACTTGCACTTGGCATTGTATTTTTGGGAGCTCCTTTCAGGTTGTTTTGAACATCTGGAAGTCAACTGGCTAAACTGTAAATATAGAAAAAAAAAACCCTGGGTGAAGGGAAAAATGTTCCAGTCCTTAGAGACTGGATCACCTTGCAGCCATGAAAGGCTAAATTCATTCTTAAGGTGCCTCTGAGTTTTCTTTTCATGGATTTGTGTGAACCCACACACCCATGTCTTGACATTTCACGACAAACCCTGTCTTGAGAAACTAAACACACACATGCGCGCGCGTGTATACACACACACACACACACACACACACACACACACACACACACACACACACGCTGACAGTGACACTAGACTCCCCGAAATCTGATCCAGGTTGATGGAATCCATCTACACTAGGTTTTCATTCTCATCTCTTCAAGAGGTTCGCTTCCCTGTCTGAACCTGCAGGGACCTCCTCACTGAAGGATGCTTTTAAGAGGGTTTCCCCCCTAACCCCCCAGTCAAGGTTTTATGTGGCTTAGACTAGCTTCAAATTCACTACACACTGAGGATGTTCGTGAACTTCAAATCTTCCTGCCTCTACCTCCCTGGCGCCTAGGATCACAGGTTGGCACCACTGTGCCAAGTTTTATGTGGTGCTGGGGTTCGAACCCAGGGCTCTGTGCATGCTAGGCAAGCACTCTACCAACTGAGTCACACCCCCAGCCTTTTTTTAGGTCCTCAAAACTCCAGGCAAAACCAAGCCCACCATCAATGATCGAGTGTTTGCCTCACATGCATGAAACCTTAGTTTCCAAGCTCAGCCCCACAGACAGTACCAGGGACTCAGTCGTCAACAAAGGCCATGCCGTGAGAGCCAGAGGCCTTTCTCATCCAGTTGGCTGCTTGGGAAAATGAGGTTTTCACATCATCACTTTCTTTTGTATTTTTTCTAGAGTATGTTCAGCCCTGAAGGAGATGGAGGGAAGCTTGAGCACACAGCTTCTGCAGGCATGGAGCTCCCACCCTGGCAGGGAAGGCCCAGCAGATTCCTACAGGGCCTGAGAGCCAGCCTGTGGGGAAGAGGCTCTGGCTTAGTTTTCTTTCTATTGCCATGATAAACAGCACGATCAAAAGCAACTTGGAGGAAAGGGCTTGTTCGGTTTTCACATCCTGATCACAGTACCTCAAAGAGGGAAGTCAAGGCAGGAACCTGGAGGCAGGAACAGAAGCCGAGCCCATAGAGGGGTGCTACTTACTGGCTTGCTCCACATAGCTTGCTCAGTCTGCCTTTTCTTTTCTTTATCCTTTTTTTGTTTTTGTTTTCGTTTTTGTTTTTTTGAGACAGGGTTTCTCTGCGTAGTTTTGGTGCCTGTCCTGGAACTCGCTCTGTAGCCCAGGCTGGCCTCGAACTCACAGAGATCCTCCTGGCTCTGCCTCCCGAGTGCTGGCATTAAAGATGTGCGCCACCACCGCCCGGCCAGTCTGCTTTCTTATATGCCCCAGCACCACTTGCCCAGTGTGGCACTGCCCTCAGTGGGCTGGACCCTCTCACATCAATCAAGAATCAAGAAAAGGCCTCAAAGGCTTGTCCACAGGCCAGTCTGATGGAGGTGTTTCCTCAGTGGAGGTCCCTTCCTTCCAGATGACTGTAGCTTGTGTCAAGTTGACAAAAACCAACCAGCATTGGGTGCCACACACACTCACCCTCCCCCCCTCTACTCCCCCCTCCCCCGTTGTTAGCTCAGACCACACTCACAAGTAGACTCCCTCCCAAAGATGCAGTAGCTGGAGAGTCAAAAGAACATAAGAACATGGCTACCCAGCAAGCACCTGTGGAACAGAGGCCTGCCACCTACAGGATGTCACAGGCTGGCCACGACACCTGGTACCAGGGCCACCACAGTGACGAGCATGCTCCAGAAGCGTGGGTGTGAAGACAGCGTCCACCTTCCCCTCCCTTCTGTACCGGGGAGAGCTGATGAGAGTGTGGGGGTGCAGGGTGACCCCCTTTTTAGGAGAGCTCTGGCCACCTAGCTCACAAACATCCTCACCACAGGGAACACCCAGGCCGATGCATCTCCCCTGCTGGTCCTCTCAAGCCATGTGGGGCCTGCTGGGAGGGCTGCCTTGAGCTCTCTAGACCTCCCTCTTCCTCTGCAGGGGACTATCAGCCTGGGAGTCTCTGTGTAAAGGAGCTGAGATCTCCAGATGGTGGGATGCTGAGTGGACTTAATGTAAACAGTGTCAGCCCCGACTCTGTTAGTCTCCTCCTCCTTCCCTCCTTTTCAATTCCTGCATTTCTTTTTTTCTTTCTTTTCTTTTTCTGGTGACAGAGTCTCACATAGCCCAGGCTGGCCTCAAAATTGTTACATAGCCAAGGATGACCTTGAGCTCCTCCACCCTCCCGCCTCCGAGTATACAGCTTTGCACATACGGGCTACCACGCCCAGCTTTTTGTTTGGGTTTGTAACCCTGGCTGCCTGGTATTCCCTAAGTGGACCAAGTTAGCTTCGAACTCATAAACAGCTGCTTGCCTCTATTTTCAGAGTGCTGGGAAAGTACTTTTAAAAAAAAAAGATTTTATTTAATTTTATTTTATGTGCATTGGTGTTTTGTCCACATTCATGTCTGTGTGACGGTCCCCTGGAACTGGAGTTACAGACAATTGTGAGCTGTCATGTGGGTGCTGGGAATTGATCCTGGGTCCTCTGGAAGAGCAGCCAGTGCTCTTAACTGCTGAGCCATCTCTCCAGCCCCTGGAAAGTGTTTTGGGTTTTTTTTTCCTTTTTTTTTCCCCCAAGACAGGGTTTCTCTGTGTAGCTTTGGAGCTTGTCCTGGAATTCGATCTATATAGACCAGGCTGGCCTTAATCTCACAGAGATCTGCCTGGCTCTGCCTCCTGAGTGCTGGGATTAAAGGCGTGCGCCGCCGCCGCCGCTGCCGCCCAGCTGGAAAGTACTCTTAAAGGCATGTAGTACCATGTCTGACTCCTACCTGGATTTCTATTTGTTTGTTTGTTTGTAAAACAAGGACTCACTGTAGACCCAGCCTATATACAGGCTAGGCTCAAATTCACAATCCTCCTGCTTCAGCCTCCCCACCACGGAGACTCCAAGTGTACATAGAGTACGGCTCGAGACCAGCACCACAGAGGACTCTCAGGACACGCGAGGCTGGGAGGTTCATCCCCCCACCCCATTTGTTGACAGTGGGTGACGGCCAACTCCAGTCCTCACCCCAGCATCTGCCCAGTGGCACACACAGCCCCTGGAGCAGGTGAGATGGGCAGCAGAGGCTACGTGAGGGTCCAGCATCAGCCTGAGGCGGGAACTGATGGTGGGTCCCTCATGATGCTCCCGGAGGCCACTTGCCAGTGTCATGGCTACTTGGCCACCATGGGACTCCTGACCCTTTAGAGCAACAGTTCTCAACCGGTGGGTCGTGGCCCCTCTGGGGGTCACATATCAGATATCCTGCCTATCAGGTATTTCCATTACAATTCATAACAGTCGCAAAGTTAGGAAGTAGCAATGAAAATCATTTTATGGTTGAGGATCCCCACAACATGAGGCACTGTCTGAAAGGGTCACGGCATGGGGAGGGCTGAGAACCACTGCTTTAGAGTCATTTACGTCTGCTTAACACCTAGTCAGGCTGTACATCACCTAGGTCCTTGCTGCCACCTATGGGTGACAAAACACGAGGTTTACCACACAGGCTTTCAGTAGCAGCAGCCTCCTAGTTGCGGGGAAGGGGATGCTGCCATGTGAGCATGGTCATCAGACCCACTGCCCTGCCCCATGGGACACTATCCAGGGCAGCCGGCCGGTGGGGACAATGAATACACAGCCCAGAGGGGGGTGTCTGTGCAGGTCACACCTCTGTAAGACCCAGTACACATGCCCAGTGAATGCTGCCATGTCCAGGAAATGGCAAGGACCGGAAGCTAAGTACGTCCTTTCTTGGACTTGTCGAATCTGCTCCTCCTGTGGAAAGGATCAGAGGTCCTGTTGCCAGGGGAGCAGTGCGGGGTGCTGGGGTGCTCTTCAGAAGCCGCCAGCGGCTCAACAGGAGAAACAAGCTAACAGCGCTTCCTCGAGGCTGCCACTGGTCCTGAGGCTACTGCTTCACATCCAGGAGAGAGAGAGGGCAGCTTGCTGGAACCCGGAGTTGTCCCTGAGCAGTCTTACTGTTCGCATCCCTAGTGGAGACGAAGACATTATAGGAAGCAAGGTCTGGTTGATGAAGGGAAGGTAATCGGTCCCCTCCGATGAAACGATTACCCAATGTTCCAGTTGGAAACTCAGGCTCGATCTTGGTGTGTATGCACACACATGCCTCACCCCACATTCAATCAGGGCTGAGTGTGACAATTCTCCCGCCTTCCTACATCTTCAGCATAAGCATCTCTGGTCCATACTGGTCCCTCCTGGTCCCCTCAGACGAATGCACTGATCAGTGGGCATGCCACCGGAATGGGGGCGAAGCAGGAGATGGATACTGTTCACTGCAACCTTGGGGCCAGTATGAAGGGCCTCCAAGGGCCAATGGCCATCCTACCAAGAAGTTCTTCCAAAAATAAATAAATAAATAAAAAGCCAGGCAGTGGTGGCGCACACCTTTAATCCCAGGCAGAGGAGGTAGGCAGATCTCTGTGAGTTCGAGGCCAGCCTGGTCTACATAGCAAGATTTTCAGGACAGGCTCCAAAACTACACAGAAAAACCCTGTCTTGAAAAACAAAACAAAGCCAAAACAAACAAACAAACAAAAAGTTCTTGAGTCTCTCCGGGCAGTGGTGGCACATGCCTTTAATCCCAGCACTCAGGAGGCAGAGCCAGGCAGATCTCTGTGAGTTCGAGGCCAGCCTGGTCTACAAAGTGAGTTCCAGGAAAGGCGCAAAGCTACACAGAGAAACCCTGTCTCGAAAAACCAAAAAAAAAAAAAAAAAAAAAAAAAAAAAAAAAAAAAAGAGTTCTTGAGTCTCTTTTGTTGTACTTTCATAGGCCCCCCTCTTTGGAGAATCCCAAAGGGTGTGAGCTTACCGCGGGGTTGAGCTGGGTAGAACAGGAGGAGACCCCACACCTCCATTGGCTTTCTTGACATCCCCTCGGACCCTGGCTGTGGATGGTATGTGGAAGGCCCCTTTGCAGGTCAAACGACAGCTGATGTCACTTTCTAGTCCAGGTTCAATACCACAGGCGGGTGGTTAGGGAGGTGGACACAAGCACACGTAGGGCCAGCCACCCAATGAGGGGCTTCCCTCCCACCCCATTCTCGGGACTGGGCAATGCAGTGTACATCTCAGATAGTCTTAGTTCACAACTGACCCCGGTGACCACAGTGGTGGCTATCCATCCTTCCATTCATTCAAACCTCTCACTTTGCTCCCGAGTCACCCCCAAAACACTCTTTTCTCACAGGACATCCTGGTCTCAGGCTCAGCTTTGGGGATAACTCAGAACACCCCCAATCTACTTCTTTTCCCTGTTTCCTTACAGATGGGGTCCAAACAATTACCCAATGTTCCAATTGGAAACTCAGGCATGATCTTGGCGTGTGTGCACACACATGCCCCACCTCACATTCCACCAGTGTTGAGTGTGACAATTCTCCCGCCTTCCTTACACCCCCAGCATAAGCATCTCTCCCATACAATATCCCTTATTGTGGCCACAGCTGTCCTCTGCCCGGACAACTGCATCAGTCTGACCTTCCTCCAGCTTCCTGTCCAGCTCCAGCCTGCAAGCCAGGGAGGAACCGAAGCACAGGTGTACTCAGACTCACCCACCAAGCTTTGTGCACTGCCTGCCTGTCTAGGGCTGCCAGGGGTGCAGAGCCTGGGTGAACGTGAGTCAGCCTCACAGCAGACCTGGGTTCTCTAACCTGGGACCGCAGAGCCCCAGGCTGTTGACCCCAAGTTCTAGAACAAGATACTCTGGGGAAATGAGGAACAAAGCCCACAGAAGCAGGCCCAGTCCCTGAGGACACTGCCGGGGCCCTACCCACTGACACACTAGTCTCATTTCTGTCCCCAGCTGATTTTCACTGGTGGTCTAGAGGGTTCGGAAGATTGAATGGTTTCTCCCAGATCACCAACTATTGTTGGGAGACCTGGAGACCAACCTAGGCTGTAGTTTTGGGGTAGAGAGTTGGTTGTCACACAGCTATGACATCATCAAAAGAAATAATCAGACGCACAGGAACTCTTAAATCGTTTTAATGTACTTTTAATAATTTTTGCCTCATCTACCAGACAAATCATCTAAATAAATAGATGCTATACAGTCTCTTACCCATCAGTACAAAAATAAAACCACACTCTGCACCTGCTGATTCTCCCCAGCACACATCCCCCGGGGGAAGGCCTGTGCCCCATCCCAATCCCTCCCAATACATTCATGTAGTCTGAACAAAGCTCGGAGCTTTCTGTGCAAAGGAAGCCGTCTTGTGCTGAGACCTGGCGGCCAGGTCTGGTCCGCCACTTAAAGCAAAAAACTATACCACCTCACTGACCCTGAGCTCCTTCCCCAGTGGGCGGGAGGTGGGAGGAACTTGGCAATGAGATCACCATCTTACCAGATGATAACCGCACAGCCCGGATGGGCTCAGCTGTGGCACTTCAAGTGCCACACCAGAGGCTGAGGCACATCTTCACCCCAACCTTTACATTCAAATGGGCGGGGCCAAGGGAAAGACAGGCAGGCGGCCGCCACTCCTCACTCGAGTACTGGCCTTGTAGGGGGTTAGTGTGTGTAGGGGGTACAGTCCACTTGGGTAGCTTCAGGCTGGGAGAAGCCTGTGTAGCCACTCAAAGCCTGCAGCCCTTCTCCTAGGGAACCAGTCCACAGCAGTCCAGAGCCGCATGGCTGCCCTGAGGGATCCCCAGCCTAGGCCACAATCTCCCCAAGCTGGTGGGTTTCATCAAGGGCCACATGGGAGAAAAGGACACCGCCTGCTGCTAAAGACAGAAGACCGCTGCCCGGAAAGGCCTCTTCTCCCCACGGGAGCCTCCTGGTCCAAGTTGCACAGGCATTTAGTCGCATGCCCCTAGGGATGGGGAGCATGCTCCCCACAGGATGCTGTCCCCCAGTATTGTGGGGGAGCAAACCCAGCTGCAAAGAAAAGCTTTCGCCACCCACCCTCACCTTCTCTGAGCTGGGGCTCCTCCTGACTCTCCTTTCCCTAGCCCACCCCGACATTCTCTAGATTCAGGTTCCAGGTCAGAGGTGAAGCAGGTCACCCACAGGAGACTGCCCCCAATGGAAGCACTGAGTTAACCCTGGACAACTAAGAACTGAGGAGGAGGAGGAGGAGGAGGAGGAGGAGGAGGAGGGGGGGGGAGACCAGGGACTTGAGAAATTTGAGGACAGAATCCCAGACAGACACAGGGTCCAGGCTCTTTGGTTGGGGGATGGGGGTCTAGGAGTGAGTCCCACCACCCTTGCTCACGCAAACTCTGTTGGCCTCCTAAAAACACAGCAGAACCGGGGACTGCTGGGACCCAGCCACACAGGGCAAGTGTCAGCCTCCAGCACACCTGCTGTGCCAAGCAGCAAACTGCTCCCTCACAGGAGCACAGGCCTGCGTGCAGCCCGACTCACCACGTACCACAGCTCAATCCCCACAGGTGTGAGGGGTCATCCCTAGCTGTGCCATTCAGGGTGGGTGGGGAGGGAACACAGAAGACAAGGACTGCCCTGAGAAAGTGGGGGGATACCCCCTCCCTGACTGCCCACACCCACGGGCATCCATGGATGCCCAGATCAGCTGAGCCGCAGGAGAGGGTAGAGAAGGGGGAGGGGGGAGGCCGGAAGGGCTGAAAAGTCACCTGAGTCAGAAAGAACATGAACTCCTGTGGGAGGAAGGAAGGGCCAGGTGTCTACCATCCTGTGTGGAAGCATCTGCAGCCGGCACACCTGGAGCCTGGTTCTGTCTGTGGTTGGGAGATCAGATGCCATCAGGCCCAGGGTGGGCCCGCGCTGTCAGATCCTGTCCCACAGACAGATCCTGTCCCATGTCATATGTGCAAGGTGGGGTGGCGGTGCTGTGGCACGTTCATTTGTGCTGTGAGTTAGGCCATGTTCACCTGATCAGTTTCTAAAGGTGTGCAAGGTCCATGTGGACATGTCTATAAACACGGGGCAGGTGTGAACACACACACAGGCAGTGTGTACACACTGGGGTGGCTGGATGTGTTCATGGGCGTCTCTACACAGGCCAGTGAGGAGGGGAAAGCACATTCAGAGGAGGCTTGGAAGGCAACCTCTTCTCTGGTCCAGTCCACACACCCTTTGTCCTGATCCCGCCCCTGGTGGCCAAAGCCAGCCTCCATGTCCCACCACAAAGCCGGAGTGGAAAGTTCATGGTAAAGACCCTAGCCAAGGAACAGAGAGGGGACACCACCAGAAAGCTGGGGTGACTGCCAAGGCAAGGTCTGGACCTCCTGGGCTCCTCCGACTCCTAGGATCAGCCTCTGTAAGATAATGACGGAGACGGGAACCAGACAGCACTGGCCTGCCCTCCCTGTCCCAGAGGCCCCTTTGTAGACAACCCTCGTGGGGCAAGGGCAGGGTGGTGGGGTCTTCCCCATGCTTCTGCTTTTTTTTCTTAAATAAAAGTATTTGTCGTGCTCCCAGCCCCTCCTGTCTCTGGAATTCCTCACCCAAGCCCCAAGGAACACAGTTTAAGAAGAAGGGAAGCCGCTGTTCACAGCTTCCCACCGCGGTCTCGGAAGAAGCCCTCGGCAGCCTGAGCCTCACGGAAGGTGACGGTGACGGAGTTGGCGGTGATGTCAGTCACGGTCACTTCACTCGAGGGGAGCGTGGGTGTCCAGGGAGGGGGCCCATTGGCCAGGTCTGCTTCTGCTGCAGTCATGGGACACGGGACAGAGACACAGATGAGGCACACAGGTTGGCACAAAGTGGTCAATTAGCAGTGATGGTAGCATGCAGCCCGCCCCCCAGTGGATGCTTAGGAGGCTACACATGCTCCCTGCCCGGCTAGACGGGATGGGCAGGGGTCAGGCCCAATCGGCCCTCACTGTGCCACAGCTGCATGGTCTCCAGCCCCACTGGATGAAGGTCAGGGGCCTTTCAGGGTTTGAGGTCTCCGGATGACTGGCTTACCCTCCTCCTCGGGGGGCTGCTCCACAGGCTCCCAGTCGCTGGTGGCCTGCAGGACATCTGGGCCTGGTGGCTCCTGCAGGGAGAGCTCCCGTCGATGGCTGTGACTCTCCGGGTGGGACCCGCTGCGTGGCGGGAACTTCTTGCGTGAGAGTCGCAGATACTTGTGGGCCTTGCGTGGCTTTCGGAGGAGTGGGAAGGGCAGGGTGGGCACCAGGGGGCCCTTGTCCACCAGCTCAGCTGCCCCCGCCTTGACCACCCCCTCGGGGCTCCCTCTGCCGAGCGGGCGCGTCAGGGAGAAGCAGAGCTCCTCCTTGCCCTGGGCTTTGTGGGAGCTCCGCAGGTCCATGCTGTAGAGCCGCTGCGGGGGGCAAGCAGGGGCAAGCCGGGGCGCGGGTCAGCCCGCCTCCCACGGCGGCTCCTCTGCGCGGCCTGTAACTCCCCCAGGGGACACCCAGGTCTCATCTGGTCCACCTGCACCGCTCGCTGTCCATGGGCCCACACCAGCCCAGGCCAGCCCCACACCCGCTGAGTCCAGTCACCCCTCTTGGCCACAGCATGGGCCTTGTCTCCCCAGGGCTGAAGGTCAGGGCTGCAGGGCTTATTCCTTTGACCCACACAGCAGGACAGCACACAAGTCTACCGAAAACTAACCCACGGGGGTAGGGGCACAGCTCAGTGGGGCACAGCGCTTGCCCACCACGAACACGGGCCTGGATTTGATATCAAGTGCTATTCAAAGTTAAAACAAAAACAAAAACAAAAAACAAAAAACTCGCCGGGCGGCGGTGGCACACGCCTTTAATCCCAGCACTCGGGAGGCAGAGCCAGGTGGATCTCTGTGAGTTCGAGGCCAGCCTGGGCTACCAAGTGAG